TTGTTTTTCTGACCCTTTGCAGGGCACCTGACTGGGAAACACGAACGCCACTTCTCCATCTCGGGGTGCCCTCTCTACCACAACCTCTCTGCAGATGAGTGCAAGGTGAGTGGATTTTTTACCTTCTGATTTCTTCTCCTGATGGATTTTTAGGGTAAAGATTTGTCATTTGTGAGCAGAAAACAGTGTGCTGGTGTGTTTGGCTGTGAGACAGCAGCATTTGGCTGTCAGAGCTGGGGGTTCCAACTCAAAATGTTCAGCTGGAAGAGAAAAGGGGTGAAAGGAGAGKCTGCAGCCCTGATTTCCAGGGGGATTTTGGCCTGCAGGTGCGAGCCCAGAGCCGGGACAAGCAGATCGAGGAGCGGATGTTGGCCCACAGGCAGGATGACAACAACCGGCACGCCACCCGGCACCAGGTGAGAAACATTTTCCTTTCTTTTTAAACCAGAAAATTTCAAACAAACACCAGGGCACAACCTGGGCTCCCTTCTTCACATCCCTGCCCCGCTGCCACCCCAGAACAGGAGCTCCTCTGTCCCTTCCATGAGCCCACCTGGCCTTGGGTTTTCAGGATGATCAGATGTGTGGGACAAAGGAATTCCTGCAGAGCTGGAAATGCAATTTCCCTCTGAGTAAACAGCACGGAGCCAAACCAGGGCAGTGACATTTCCCAGCCCCTGAGTCAGCCCTGAGCTCTTCCCCAGCGCGGAGCATTCCACCAGGAGTGCGCCCTGTGCTGTGGTGAGGAGGGAAAATTGCTGCTTTGCATTCCTGTGCTGCACCTGCAGTGCCCTGTGATTAGCACAGGGTTTGGGTCAGAGGCAGAAAACAGCATGGAATGGGAGCCAGGATGGAATTCCTTGGGGTGGGAAGTGAAGGGGAATGTTTGGGGTGGCTGGAACCTCTCAGGGATCCCACCTTGAGGGGAATCTTTGGGGTGGCTGGAGCCTTTCAGGGATCCCACCTTAAGGGGAATGTTTGGGATGGCTGGAGCCTCAAGGAGAGTGTTTGGGGTGGCAGGAACCTCTCAGGAGTCACCTCAAGGGGAATGTTTGGGATCCCACCTCAGGGGAATGTTTGGGATGGCTGGAGTTTCTCAGGGCTCCCATCTCAATGATTCCCAAGTTTGGGGTGTCTGGAGCCTATTGGGGATCTCACCTCAAGAGGAATCTTTGTGGTGGCTGGAGCCTTTCAGGGATCCCACATCAGGGGGAATGTTTGGGATCCCACCTCAGGGGAATGTTTGGGGCGTCTGGAGCCTTGAGGAGAATGTTTGGGGTGGCTGGAACCTCTCATAGATCCCACCTCAAGGATCCCCAAGTTTGGGGTGGCTGGAGCCTTTCAGGGATCCCACCTCGAGGGGAATGTTTGGGGATGGCTGGAGCCTCAAGGGGAGTGTTTGGGGTGGCAGGAACCTCTCAGGAATCACCTCAAGGGGAATGTTTGGGATCCCACCTCGGGAATGTTTGGGGTGGCTGGAGTTTCTCTGGGGTCCCACCTCAAGGATCCCCAAGTTTGGGGTGTCTGGAGCCTATTGGGGATCCCACCTCAAGAGGAATCTTTGGGGTGGCTGGAGCCTTTCAGGGATCCCACATCAGGGGGAATGTTTGGGATCCCACCTCAGGGGAATGTTTGGGGTGGCTGGAGCCTTGAGGAGAATGTTTGGGGTGGCTGGAACTTCTCATGGATCCCACCTCAAGGATCCCCAAGTTTGGGGTGGCTGGAGCCTCTCAGAGATCCCACCTGGAAGGGAATGTTTGGGGTGTCTGGAGCCTCGAGGGGAGTGTTTGCGGTGGCAGGAACCTCTCAGGAATCACCTCAAGGGGAATGTTTGGGATCCTACCTCAGGGGAATGTTTGGGATGTCTGGAGTTTCCCAGGGGTCCCACCTCAAGGATCCCCAAGTTTGGGGTGGCTGGAGCCTCTCAAGGATCCCCCCTGGCTTCCTTTCAGGCCCCCACAGAGAGGCAGCTGCGATACAAGGAGAAGGTGGCTGAGCTCAGGAAGAAGAGG